CACATTCTCCAAGTCGGGGGCTTCGGTGCCAGGACCACGTTTGCCAACCATTCTGGGTATAATACTTCCTTGATGTGTTTAATAGCCAAGAGCATAGCCACCTCCTTCTTCACGAAATCCCTTCGTTCCACCGAGAGGTGTCTTCTCTTCTGCTGGATCGGCTTCACCGTCGGGTCGACCGCTAGCCTGTGAACGGCCACACTTCGGTCCAACCCCGGCATATCCTCAGGGCCCCATGCGAAGATCACACTGAATGTGACCAACACTTGGATGATCTTCTCTCTCATCCCGGCTGGGAGCCCCAACCCGATTTTGATCTTTCGCTCCGGGTGCCCGGGATCGATATGAACTTCTTCAACCTCGGAGGTGGGTTCAACGCGGAGCTGGCCATCCTCATACTTCATGGCTTTGCTGTTGATAGTGTGGACCCTGAGGTCCTTTTGTCCGAGTTGTTTGCACGCCTTCATGTAACAACTCCGGGCCATCCTTTGATCTCCCCGAGCTATCCCGACCCCGTTCGGGGTGGGGAACTTCATACATAAATGCTCCTGAGAGATAATGCATCTCAAGTCCTCCAACGCGGGTCTTCCCATGATGATTTTGTGCGGACAGGTTAAACGTACGACAATGAACTCAAGGTTCAACTTTGCTACACAGGGTTCTGAACCCACCATCACAGGCAACACCACACTGCCTTCCGATTCGATTGAGTCCCCGGTAAATCCGGATAAAGGTGTTCTTACCGGACTCAGATCCGCCCCGCTCAGACCAAGGCCTTGGAATGTGTCGTAATACATTACGTTCACCGAGCTTCCATTGTCTACTAGAACTCGATGAATGATTGTATTGTTGATCTCCACCTTAATCATTAAGGCGTCCCTATGCGGTGGTGGCATGGATGGTAGGTCATCATCAGTGAAGTAGATCGGATCTCTTCTCATCTTCTTTCCTGCAGGTACCCGGGTAATTTCCCCGACGTACAAGGATCGAGCCCATCGTTTCCTTTCGCCTGACGTGTCCCCTCCTTGGGGGCCGCCCACGATGTAGGAGCATCTGTGATGCTTCCGGGCTCCCTCCCCTAGGTCGCACTCGTCATCCTCGGACAGAGCCCCGAGCTCGCGCTTCTTTGGAGGTTGGTAAAGGGGCTGTTTCTCCTTGGACGTGGTGGCTTGATCGGAACGCCTCCATGTCATGTTCCTCCCTTTCTGGGCATTTCCCGGTTTTCCTACAAATTGGCCCAAATATCCTTGTTTGATAAGTGCCTCAATTTGTCTGCGGAGAACGATGCATTCGTCCATATCATGCCCGAAATTTCGGTGAAACCTGCAGTACTGGTCGGTGTTGCGTTTGGCAGTGACCACGTCACATTCCTCTGGGAAGGAAACCAAACCCTGCTCCTCGGCATAGTCGAGGACCGTCCCGACCGGTTGAGCCAAAGGTGTCAGAAGTTTGGTAGGTAGGAGCGGACCGTTCGGGACGTCCGTCCTTCCCTTGTTCTTATTCTTCTTACCTTTGAACCGGCCGCCCTTTCCGCCAGATTTCCTATCGGCATCTTCATCATCTGGGTCACCACGTCTTCCCTTGTCCTTCGTGTCTTCTTTCTTTCCATCCTCTTCATCTCTTTTCCTCTGTTCAGTGTCCTCTGCCTCAGCCTGACGGTCAGCCCGCCTCAGGGCTTCCTCGTATAAAGCGGGTGGATTCCTAACAAAATCCTTGTAAAGTTCTCCTGATCGGATAGAATTTGTCAGCATTGCCACTCCGGTCCTATCGTCAAGGCCCTGAACCTTGACCGACTCGACCCTCCATCTTGCCAGGAAAGTGGACAGGGCCTCTTTCTTTCCTTGCTTCAGGCTAAACAGGTGGCTGAAATTCTTCTTCACATCTCGTGAGCCGGCGAACCTCAAGAGGAAGTGCCTAGCCAACTCCCTGAAGTTCCCGATGCTCCCATCGGGCAGTGTGTCATACCATTCACGAGCCGGGCCATCTAGAGTAGCCGCGAATCCTCTGCATCGTATGGCATCTTCGTACCCCATCATGACCATATATGACAGGTAACGTGATATGTGGTGTTGCGGGTCTGAAGTGCCCTTGTAAGTATCCACATTGCAAGGTTTGTAGCCCCTTGGCAACGGAGCCTCCATTATGGCACGAGTGAAGGGCTCCGGGATATGGAGGTCGGCCACGTATGACTCTCCCCCAACAACCCTCCTCCTTAGCTCGTCCAACCTCAGTCTGAGATCCTCCACAGCTTCCGGCGCCGGTTCCTCTGGCACGCGTCCAGCACGGGGCTGGACCCGCACATAGGATTCTGCGACTCTTTCACGCGCGTGAGGCCGACGGCCACCACGGGGGCCTTCTATGGAACCGGTTCGACCGCTCAGACGACGGGGGTGATGAGAGAAGTCATCCCCGCCCTCCAGTGACGAGTCTCGGTGGGGCCCTCCTCTTTCGGGTCGTCGAGGCTGCTCGACCCGTCGGGACATATGCTCCCTCCGGGGCAAGGATTCCCTTCGTGATTCGTCCAAACTAGTATGTCGCCCTTCATATCTCCCAGAGGAAGTCTCGATGTCTTCAGGGGCGGCGTGCCTCGGAGTTTCATGATTAGCTCTCTGCGGCATCATCCCCAGGAAATTCTGAGCCAAAGCCCCAATGGCACGCGTGGCCTCCTGTAACGCCCGCACTCCAGCGTCAAGTCGGTTCGTGCGCGGAGCCCGACGACGGCGACCTCCAATCCGATCACGAATGGATTGTCTGTCATGACTACGGCTTAGCGAGCCCCTCAGGTCCCCTGAGCCCGACAAATGGCTCCAGAGATCTCCTATCGGTCTCACCACCTGGCTTCTCACACGATGGCCATTGGGTTGTTCTGAATGCTCGGTGTGAACGGAAACTCGCTCTTGCCTTGATGATCCTGCCATTTTCCTCCTCAAAGATTCTACCGAAAACTGAGAGAACAACTCAGCTCTCAATGAAAGCACCAATGTTGGTAGAAAATATGTTGAGTAGAAAATTCGGCAGCAATTCAGTACAGTAAAAGTGACTTATCCAATACAAAAAGAGGGGCGGCCTATTTATAGGCGCTTACAAGAGGTTTCTTGAATACTAATGGGCTTGGCCCAATTAAACAACTAAAACAAGAAGCCTGATCCCAGGCCAATGGGCTGGTCGGGCCCAGAGTTAAACTAATCAATCCAAGGACCATATTATCTAGCCGGACCGTGTGCTGGGCCTGGTTCGCGCCCGAGCCCAGGCATATTGGGTCGATAGTATTGGACCTGGCCCATTATCCCAACAATGTGTATTTGAATCGCAAAATGTTCGAATCAAAATTGCTTTTCTTAATTAAATCTGTATTTGAGCTTCTTTGAATTCAAATAGTTATACGCTATGTAGCACCGATACCGGTACGCGGAATCGCGGAAACGCGGACACGGGTACGGGGATACGGCAAAACAAAAAAAAGTAGGATACGGATACGGGGCCATATTTTTAAATATTAAAAGTTATGGGGGTGTATTTACAAATATTAAAAGTTACAGGGGTGTATTTATAAATATTAAAAATAGATTTTTTTTGGAAATATATACATATAATATCCTATGAAATATACAAAAAAAATAATTTTTTTGGATATATATATATATATATCCTATATATACATATATACCCATTCATTACATATACATCATAATATTTCTCATATACACTAGTGCATCTCGAAATATAAATGTAGACATGTAGTCGATAAGTCATTAATTTAAAATGAGAAATAAGTCAAACAACTACAATCTTGAAATTAAAAGTGCAAGTACCAAAGTTCTAGAATAATTAAGATAGAAAACAATATTTTAAAAGCTCTAACATCTAATACATATTTTCACTAGAAGTATTAATTTCCAGGAATAATATCATCTTCCAAAAAAACTGCCAATGATACGGGTATCCGTCAGGATACGAGTATCGGAAACTTTCAAAAAATTACAAAAAAAAATGGAAACTTTTAAAAATTACAGATACGGCCCGGGAACGTACGGTACGGGTATCCTAGAGTATCGGATACGGGAACGTATCCGATACGCCGATACGCTACCCTAGAGAAGTATCCGTGCTTCATAGGTTATACGTGATTACGAATCGAGCATAAAATATTTAATTGGTTTACAACTCTAGTTTCATGGGTACATAGCACTTTTTAACTGGATTTGGTTTTCTCTTCCCTCTTGAGAGAGAAACCCTAGTGGTCGTCTCCCCTCTTTTTAAGGGTTGAGATTTTCCGTCACCCCTATTAATATGGGGTTGAAGAGGCAGATTATACTGATTTTAAGTGTTCTAACGTTTGAGATTGCAACTACGTCGGAGGGGATAGCGGTGGCGATTGAACGAGGTGTGGATGAGAGGTTGTATTGAAGCTGGATCGTGAAGCCTTGGTCGGTCATTCCGACACTGGTGGAGTTGGTATTCACTCATATTGTAAGAGCTTGTCTTCCTCCGGAACCACCTTCACACCAGGAAGAGTTTTGTGGAAAGATTTTATTTCAGTATTATTTTCTATTTAGTTGCAATTGTTTCTGTTTTAGTCCGAGTAGATCGATTCGGTGTGAATGTTGAATTTTTGGAGTTCTTTTGATAGACAGGGTTTCAGTACCGATCGTTTTAGGTCTAAATTTGTCCGTTTCAGGTTTAGCAAGCCATGTTGCTTTGTATGAGATGACTGACTCTAAATCTACTCTTAGGATTCACGATTGGATCTGTAATTACTGTCTGAAGGTTGTCTTGTATGTGTTCTTGATTTTAATATAATGATGGCTCTTTTATGATAAAAAAAACTCTAGTTTCATGGGTCTATTTGGTCAAATATCCAAAAGTATGTTCAGCATAATTAGTACACAATACGTAACTATGTAGATATTTTGCATGTAAATGTAATCCTTCATAATCGCCGAGCCTTTAATTTAAAATGTCCAAAACCATATAATTTAATTTAAGCCTTCCATCTCGATCAGGTACTCAGGTCAACCATTGCCATGCAGGTTTAGCATAATTAATTATCAGAAATTATAAATTTAATTAATTTAAACATATGTAGTTCCACCTTTGGAATTACCATTGCATAATCTCCCCGCCACCCGCTTTACCGCAGGTATGCATAAATAATTTGTGTGTTTTAATTATATACGAAGTTGCTACTTTTAATTTTCTTCTTGATCTTAAGAGTTAATGTTTGGTAAATGGTAATTAACATTTACCGGCAGGGATCGATCGATCCGCAGGTATGGAGCATTTGGAGAACGCAAAAGTGATTCGGCTCAAGGAGTACAAAAAGGGAAAATTTCTGGTGGCGGATAAGGATCAGAAAACGCTGCGGCGGGGCGGAAATGGTTCATCGCAAAACGCCCTCTGGACGGTGGAAATGGTGGCGGAAGGAACGCACCGTTACCTGCGGCTGAAAAGCTGTCACGGGAAATACCTAACGGCGTCGAACATGCCGTTACTCCCCAGGGGAAGGTGCCAGAAAGTTGTCCAGAGCTTGCCGGATAGATTGAACTCGGCGACGGAATGGGAGATGGAGGGGGAAGGGGTGGTGCGGCTCCGAACCCGGTACGGTCAATTCTTGAAGCAGTACGGCGGCGTTATGCCGTGGAGGCATTCCCTTGTGCACAACGGCCATGCCAAAAGGTCCGCCTTGTGGGAAATCCAAGTAGTTGACCAGGCTGCCGCTGAGGCTGCCCGTGCCATGGTCCACCACCACCGCCGTGCCGCGTCTGATTCCACCTTCTCCACACGAAATACATTTTCCGCATTTAAGTTCCCCAATTTGGGTGGCATAAAAGAGAAGTAATGTAATAATCATGATATAGAGAAGTCAATACTAATGTTCACATAAAAAAGATCTATTGATTATTTTGTTACAAACTTATTCGATACTTGAAGTGTTATTAAATTGATCAATGATTATGTTATGAAAAAAACATTACAATTTTTTACTTTATCTAAATAAACTCATTAAACCACAAAAACACCTTTTGAAAATTTAGAATGAGGGAATTTAATTATAGAGAGTATTTTTTAAAAATAAATTATTAATACATTAATAAAATAAAATATAGTAATAGTAGAGCACCTGAATAGTGTAAAATTTCTAATGTTACAATTATTTAAGAACGGAAATACTACATATGGTCGTATGAATAGTAAATGACTTTTAAGTGCATGTCTGGACGGGCCAAACAACTCCATTACAAAATTGCAAAATCAATTGTTATGCATGTCATTTTCTTCGGATCGAAATGTGGTGTCATGAACACCATCTCCATTGTTATCGTGACATTTGTGCAATTAAGTAGTCAAAATTATTTGCTATTCCCACAATATACAAAGTACTCCCTATGTCTCATATATAAAGGTTCCTTACTTCCTGCTTTTTTTCTAGACGTCCCATATAAAGTTCTCATTTCCCTTCTACGAAACGATTAACACTCTTATACTAGTATTACAACTTAATCATCATATATTAAAAAAATGCATTTATAACATCACAATTATCACCATTAACCTCATCATATTATATACCTATCAAATTTATTTTTCAAAATATACTTCGACTATAATATTTAATTATATTCTAAATAATCTTGACATTTTGCAATAAGAACCTTTCAACTGACGGAGGTAGTATATATTACTATTATAATATACTACTAATAATTATTTGGGTCCTACACATATGTATATAATATAAAATAAATGGTTGTATGAATAATAGATGACTTTTAATTGAATTAATTATGTGTCTGGATAGACCAAACAATTGAATTGCAAAATTGTAAAATCAATTGGCCACTCCAATTGCTTTAGGCGGGAAAATTGAAAAATCAACTGGCCACCCAAATGACCCAATTGCTCTATATAATATAAAGATTAATTTTGTGCCTGAATAGATCAAACAATTGAATTGCAAAAATGAAAAATCAATTGCCCACTCCAATTGCTTTAGGCGATAAGATTGCAAAATCAATTGGCCACCCAATTGCTCTATATAATATAAAGATAAAGATATAATATAAAGATGAGAACATTCCCACGGCAAAATCAATTGTAATATTATTAATGGTTATTTAATTGGCTCCTACGCATATGTATATAATATAAAACACATAGCCTTATGAATAATAAATGAGTTTTAATTGAATTAATTGTGTGCTTGGATGGACCAAACAACTCAATTGCAAAATCAATTGAGTACCGCAATTGCTTTTGGAGGGAAAATTACAAAATCAATTGGTCATCCAATTGCTTTATATAATATAAAGATTATAATACTACTAATGGTTATTTGGCTCCTACACATATGTATATAATATAAAATACATGGCGGTATGAATAATAAATGACTTTTAATTGAATTAATTGTGTGTCTGGATGGATCAAACAACTCAATTGCAAAATCAATTGAGCACCGCAATTGCTTTAGAAGGTAAATTGCAAAATCAATTGGCCACCCAATTGCTTTATATATATAATATAAAGATTATAATACTACTAATGGTCATTTGGCTCCTACAAATATGTATATAATATGAACTAAAATACATGGCCGTATGAATAATAAATGACTTTTAATTGAATTAATTGTGTACCTGGATGGACCAAACAACTCAATTGTAAAATCAATTGAGCACCACAATTGCTTTAGGAGGGAAATTTCCAAAGATCAATTGGTCACCCAATTGCTTTATATAATATAAAGATATATGAGTAAAACTCATTACAATTCTCAAAACATGATCTAGTATGTTTATTTCCCACCATGTGACTCCAATGAGATTAAAATAACTACATCCGTAAAAACATGGAGTATTGAAAGACAAAATTAGCCTTAAACGTACGTTCATCCAATTGATTTTAGATCAGAAAGAATCAAATCCTTCATAAATGCAGAAATATAGATGGAGAAAAAGTAGGCCAATCCCATATTTTTAGGAGTGGGATTAATGAACGATTTAACCAAAATTAATACCCTAACCTACCAATTATAATCGTGCGCACCCCAAAATCGATAGAGGAAGTAAATACTTCATGGGAAGCAGAGGCCCATAGAATCGATGAGAATGTTCTCTTTCTCATGAGTGCAATGATTTTTCAATGATGTCATTGATATATTGCATGAATACATTGCACTAAATTATGTTGTGCAATTCTTTAACTTATAAAATACATGTCGTCAATTACTTTTTATTACATTTTAAAGATTGAATCGGTAATATACATGGTGATTAAGAAGGTTGAGTGTGTGGGGAATTCATGCATTATTGATTGTTTATGTAATGCAATAGCATGGCAATAAGTGTATTACATTGCACTAAATGAAAAACTTGATTGCATTGAATGAAAAGAATTCATCGTCATTCCATAAATTCAATGCATTATATAAAGTATCAACAAAACGCTGTCACTGAATGCATTCTGACAATTGTGGATGAGCTCTGGAACTTAATGTTAGACACCCACTCGCCATCTACGTTAATCAACACACGTATGTTTAGAGATTGGTTTGGAGAACAAAAATATCAATGACGTCAAAAGAAGAAAGCATGTGAAGAAGATGTAAATGGTTAGACAAAAAAAGGTTGAAGACGTGAGGGAATGAAGATGATACAATCACATACGGAGAAGAGGTGACGACACTAAAGTTGTTGTGTGCCTCAAATAAATACAATACTCGCACTAATACCGTAGTATAGCGTAGTAAGGTTCGTATCCGCAGGGAAACAAATACTTCTCTTTTATAGAACTAGTAACAGGGGGGTTAAAGTTGTTGTTGAACTTCAAGTATATTTAAACACTAAATTGAACGACTTATGTGGTTTAATTAATTAGAGATGGAAACTTGGTTTTGCTTATATCCACTTCATAAAATGTTCATCGATCCCGGTTATATCTTTAACTATCTTCCTCTCGAATACTCAATCGAGGAGTATCTCAAATTCATCGAGGGTAGTTATTAATAACGAGACGCGTTCATTAATAAAACTTACTATCAAGTTAATACAGAACAAGCGTCGTATATTGACCTGATAGTAGCAATAAAACTTAAGATGAAAACGATTGAGATTGATAACCTCAACACAAGAGGTTTATTGGTTTAATCAATATAATTAATTCCCCTTAGATTATTAACCATGAGACGCATGCATTAATAATCTAAGTTTACTATCGTGAAAGTACCGATCAATTAACAAGAGTATTCGTCGATCATAATTAATATATGAAACAAAACTAGTTGATTCTTTAAGTAATGCTCAATATATTAATATGAAATGTGAATAGGAATGTAATTAATATTCAAGGACGACGATTAAAGGAAATAACTCACAACTTACAAATCATAAGCTTCAACGTAGCAAAATTAAGATGGAAGAGTTTAGCTCCTAATTTGGAGACTAAAGATGCTAAAAATATAAAGAAAGTACTTGACTAGATTGAGCTTAGAAGTATATAGGAATTGGTGAAATCAATGTGAAGGAAAAGGGTTGTATTTATAGGTGTTTGGAGGTGGCACGAATGTGTACCCGATCGGATACCTTCAGCAATTTCCCGGTAAGGTATTAACCGATTTTGCAGATTTTCAGCCACGTTCCAATGTTCTTCCGGATTTGATTTTGACGTTCGAATCACAGCAACTACCCGATCGGGTATTGCTTATACCCGACCGGGTACACGAAATATTTTCAAATCCTTAATTGATCTTGCCTCTTTTGCACATTCTTTGGTCTCTAGGATCCATCTTTTGATTCCTTTGATGATTTTGAGCTTTCCTAAGCTCAGAATAATCCTAATCTAAACAAATTACAAAATATTTAACAAACTAAAGTATTATACTAAAAGTGTGTAATTTCCAAAATAACAAACTACAAAACTAATTAAAAATGCAAACATACAATCAGAAATTACACGAATATCAACCCCCACACACATCCACACTTAGTTTCTTTACTCGTCCTCGAGTAAAGCCACATGTTTACAAAGTCCTCAATAGTTCAATAATTATCAAGAAAGGGCAAAAGATCACCAAGGATAACACATGAGTTTTACATTGAGTTTTTAGCTCAAAAATAACATCTTCTTGGGTTTTATGGCCTTATGCTCATCTCTTTTCTTCTCTTCTTTTCTTTTTCTCCCTGATATCCTCAATGCACAGTAAAAACAAACGCATCTCTCATATCTCTCATTGTGTCTAGAAGCCTTTTCAGGTTTTCATCCTAGCATCTCTTTTTATCTTTTCATCCTTTCCAACTCACTCATGTTTTTGTGTAAACCCTTTTTGCTGAGATTGCTCGTTTTTTGTTTTTCAACCTAACTAACATTTTTTTATTAATTTTTTTTTGAAAAAGAATGTCACACTTAGTACAAGGTAGAAAAGGGAAATGTACATAACAAGTGAGAAGTCTTCCCTCTACGTAGTCCGACGCATTGTCCCTAGTGCCCGCCATGCCTGTAGTAGCCGCCACCATAGCCTCCTTCATTGCTGCCTTCACCGCTATCTCTCACAATCAAATACACACACACACACACACACACACACACACACACACACACACACATATATATATATATATATATATATATATATATATATATATATATATATAGCAATCTCAATTCATAAACTCATATAAATATATGATTTCCGAACAATCAATATATATAATTTTCGAACAATATATGTATATATACACACGATTATATATAAACATATAAATATTATATCACACACAAATAATAAAGCATTCCATACTAGCACATACGAATATACACATATATGAGCACACACCCAAACATACTTATGACATGTTTCGTACATATTAAAATTCATCATATTCGTGTATGCCCATGAAATCATTTCAAATGTGTATATATATATGTGT